CCCATCATGAAACTTGATAGGTAGAATATTCAATGTTGCCAATCGTAAGCTGGGCAGATACTATTGTTTTGATCTTTGAAGATCGCAGGGTAACCTGATTTTGCTGACAAGAGAGTGACACTCCAGGTTTGTTCATCTTACTTTCAACTCCTTTCCACGTCCTGTGTCTTTTTATGTCTCCTGGCACTCCCAGACTGCATTCCTGTAGATATAAAACTCCTAGGATCCTCTAGTGTTAATGATTCTCAAGCTTAAATGTGCACAGACCCCGCCTTGTTAATACAGAGATGCCTGGATTGCTGTAGGTTCTGATATTTCAGGTTTGTGTTGTCTCCCCATTGCCCTTGAATTTTTGTTGGCAAAACATCCAGGAGTTTGCAGGTATAATTTGGTTACCCAGCAGAAGGTTCTTCTGATGTGGACAACAAAGGACAAACATGAGCAAATATAGTTCCTTTTAAATGAACAATCAAGAGATTTTTCAATAGCAAGACCCCGTTTTAACAGTTTTCTTGAGTGATCTGAAGCATCTCAGAGTTGGAGAACCACTATCTATAACATAGTGGGAAACAAGAGCTAGAAGATCCCCTAGACTCCAGGGCACCTTGAAGACAGAAGGGAAATCAGAACATTGTCTAGGGGGCTTGTTAATGTGCAGACTGAATCGTCAGGCTCAGGTGGGTGGGATCTGGGATGCATCTTCCAGCATCAGTGATGGTGTAGCTTGTCCTGGGACACACTTGAGTAGAGCAGGGAGTAAATTCTAGCTTCACACTTTCCCAGATAGATGATGCTAGACTTCTTATTTAACATTGCTGGTTTGTTTAATCTGTAAATGGGAGAGGGTGGTAGAAGGGAAGACTGTTCCCTGAGTATTGAAAAAAATCAGTCTTAGTATATATGCATTTGTAAGGTAAGCAATACTCCAGTACTGTGTACACTCAAACTAGTATCTCTGACCAGTGAAAATCCACCAAGGTTTCCTTTCAGGATTTAGGCTTCCAGTTTCATGCAAAGCTGTCTGAGTGATTGTTTCTGACATGGGCACAGCATGGCTTGGTGTATTGCTTCACTAAATTACAGCCTAGTTTCCACTAGTTTCCCCTTAATTGTCTTGAGTTGAGCATGATGAGGCATGGAGAACTGAGCACATCTTATTCAGAATGTGGGTGCTCCCTGGTCAATGCACCACCCAATGGGTCTGAAAATGGAAGGGTCAGAATGGGTCCCATCCAGTTCTCCATGGTGGTTGTTTTTTCCAGGTCATGTTTGTGAGATATATATAATTTTAAGACATTACCAAGGGGGAGCCTTCTTTCTGTGGTTGATGTACAGAATCATGTTACAGGCTCACTCTCTGTGCTTGGACTCCCCTGGGGTTCCTGAGGACTGCTTCTTGGGCAAGAAGAATTACAAGGCTGGTCAAAGCTGCTGACTATGCCATTCCGGGCTAGTAGATGCAACTCTTTGGTCCTTGTGCCAAGGCTTTGGTTGGTTTGGGGTATTTGGGGGAAGAATACTGAAAGGAAGCATTTCTTGCTATGGGTTGACTGCTTTATAGATTGTTAATGTTCTGGAACAATGTGCCACAGTTTGAGAATGGAGTCTGTTACCAGGAGATCCACCAAACGGTCCTCTATTATTGTTCCATGATCAAGGAGATAGTGATGGCAAATTATGTCCTGGTATTTTACAGTGATCCACAAGAGAAAGTTAAACAATAACACTAAACAAAAACACAAAACAACCAGGCTGATGTGCCAATGAACTCTGCCGTCAGACTGTCATGTGCTTACCTCTAAGAACCCCAGTCTACTTCCTTAATTCAGTTGTCCTCTTGGAACACTGTGCACATCCTATCTTTTGATCTGGGAGCCCAAGACTCTGGCAGCCAGAAGGAGTAGATGAGGGCATGGCTCTACTTCATTTCACCATGCTTTAAGAGGGTGTTCCTTGTAAGTAATTTTATGATTAATTTAATGGTTCCATAAGTAGGAACTAGAGGCCTGACTTTGGCTCATTCCTTTCTTGTAACCCACCGACAAAAGGGATTTTTCAGGTAGGAAAAACAAGGACATGACAAAGTGCCCCTGATAGGTGCTGGAGAGATAGCCCAGTGGTTAAGAACACTGGCTGCTCTCCCAGAGGACCCGAGTTCTATTCCTACCATCTATATGGCAGCTAACAACTGCCCATAACTCTAGTTCCAGGGGGTCTGATGCCCTCTTCTGGCATCCTTAGGCACCAGGCATGCACAAGGTGCAAGGCACCCACAAAGCCAAAGCACACATAACACATTAAACAAAACAAACCCAAAACATATTTTTAAATGTCTGTGATATTAATAGAAAATAGAGATAAGAAAATAGTGCCTTCTCTTTAAGGCCAAGACATCATCTTTACAGCCAGCAAGCCTGCAGGTACCCTCCTCACACACGGGAGGAGGACCTCTGGCATTCTAATTAGGTGGTAGTTGCTCCACCCAGAGCCATGCTTCCAGAACCAGGCTGTCTCAACCAGGCTTGGAGAGGCTTGTGGGATGGCTGCCCCTGTGGGGCCTCCTAACATCAGTAGCGTATCAGGCTTGAGGCCAGGGAGTGATGCAAATGGATGCGACAGAGAATGCACGGATCACTTTGGAAAAGCATATGCATTTAGGTGCAAAGAGATCAGAGCTGACAAGAGACTACATCATCTTGGAAGGAAGAGGAGCTGAGGAACCCAGGCTTAAGAAGAAAGCCCTATCATGGAAGAAAATAGAACATGGGGGAACAAAGAGAGACGGTTTGCACAATATACTGTACTTCTGACCCTTAGGGAGGGTAAGGTAAGAGTATAGGAAGGAGTGGATATGCAGTTCAGCTGGTGGAATGTACAAGGCCCTGGTTTTGATCCCCAGTGCCACGTACACTGAGTCATGCCTGGAATCCCAATGCTTGGAAGGCAGAGGCAGGAAGAGCAAAAATCTAAAACCATCCTTGGTTACACATTAAGTTTGAAGTTGTTCTAGAATATATGAGACCCTGCCTTAACAAAACAAAACAAAATAAAATAAAACATAAAAAACCCCGTGTTTCTCAGAGGGGCCCTAAGCCATTTAGTTATATAACATACCTGCTCTGGGTACTTATCCTAAAGGATTTTGTGGCAGTTAAAAATGTATCCTGCTGAGCCAGATTCCCCTTTTGTTCAGTGACTATTATTATTTTAAAGATAACCCTCCATGAAAGACCATAGCTTTGCCAGGAAAAACAATGTTCTGACATGGTTAAAGTATATTACAATTTGTGGCTGCGTACCCAGGATTTGACATGGCGTGGTGTTCCATTTCAACCCAATTTAATTATATGGCTCTTTCATATATTGCCAGTGGCTTGCACTAGTAGAGGACTTTTTTTTGCCTCATGAAAAACTGGCCATGATTTGTCATGAGAGGCTGGTTTACAGAACAGCTAGTGGAGAGTCACTGCCCATCATTCGGGAATTATGGAGCCATAACCACCCTTTATTTACATATACTGCTGAGACAGTAAAAACAGCAAATAGATTTCTTAAATTGAGACTGCAGAAACTTCCCCCCAGGGCACTGGGCCCTCGTTGTGACAGTGACATATGTGAGTCTGAACAACTTTGCTGTCTGTGTTCCTGCACCACATCATCCCATGGACAGTTTATAACGTTCTAATAATAAAATGGACTCTAAATTCAGAGTCAGGCTGCATGAAAAGTAGATGCTAATGTCGAGCAGCCTCAGTGATAGTGGAGAATGTTTAAATCCACTACCCAGATGGCTGTTGAGTAGACCTACAAAGTGGCTGGAGGGGACCAGCCAGGGCTGCTGAGAGAAGGCAAGATCCAGACAGAAGGAAGCCTTACCTAGTGGACCACCATGTAGACCCTGTGCTTAGGGGGAGCAGGGGTTTCTTAGATGCCAGGCTCCTGAGCCTTCAGCAGCTATAGAGATGCTCTGTGGATCTGTCTCCCCACCCCCACTGTCATTTTCTCCATTCACCTCCCATCTCCTTCCTGCTTCCCATGCCCCCCTTGAGGATATACCTGGGGAAGACGTGACTAGAGAAGGGCATTATGCCCACCCTTGACTGGCTCCCCTCCTGAGATTCTCTGTTTATTTTCATCTCCATATAGTGTGTGTGTGCGTGCGTGCATGCGTGCGTGCATGCGTGCGTGTGTGTTCATGTGTGGTTAGGAGAGTGTAAAGGCTAACGGATATCCTTAGGAGCTATTTCTCAGATACTTCCCATCTTTTCTGCTTTGGAGACAGGGTATTCTCCAGCCTGGAACCCCCCATGTAGACTAGACTGGCTGGCCATTGAGCCCCAGGAGTCACCTATCTCCACCTTCCCTGGGAAGGTCCTGGGGTTACAGGTGCTCATCACCATGTCTAGTTTTTAATATATGGCACCTAGAGATAAAACTCGGATTTTCATACCTGCAAGGCCAGCACTGACTGACTAGGGTATCCCCAGCTCCCTCTCCTTTATTTTGATGCTTTGCATCTTTGTAGAGTTGAGTCATTCTCAAGACCCATCTCAAAAGCATGCTCCAAATACCCTCAACTCTGGGTTCTCTTCCCAGGGAGATGCGTTCACTCCTCCACCCACTTTAATTTCTGGTAAAGTTACATCTGAGCCTGGTTAGCACTCCAGTCAGTGCAGTGACACCAGGCAGCCTTCTGCAGCGACAGCAGGTGGCTCCCGAAGTCACACCTTACAGGGAGCTGAAGTCTGGAAGGGTGTGGGGTGTGCAGGGAAGAGGTGGTTGCATCTGCAGTCTGGCATCCAGTTACTGGTGAACCTGGATACCCTGCAACTGTCAAGATTCTGCAGCACACAGGATTCAGACGGTCTGAGTACAAAGTGGGTGAGCATCCTCTCCAGGGTCCCGGGAAGGTGTGTGTGTGTGTGGGGGGGAGGATGCTGGTTGTGAGGGTGAGACTCCCACAGGTGCATGCCCTCCCTCCCCTACATGCTTGCACTCACCGCCAGAGGGCAGGCCACTGCAGCTGCCCCCATGCAGACAAGGGTTGCGTTGGCATGCATCTGGGTAGAGTACACAGCCCAGCTTCAACTCCGTCAGACCCACGACCTCCGCGAAGCTGCTGCGCTTGTTCTGGAGGGGCAGCTCATTGTGATTAAGTACCACGGAGTCTAGGCAACCCTGGAAGCCACCGAGGACCTGTGTGACTCGAGTGTCTGTCAGACTGCGGATGTTATCCGCCTGTACTAGAGCACCAAAGAAGATGGCACTGTCGGTGTTTAGTGTCTGGAAGTACAGGGGCGCCCTGCGCCGCTCCACATAGCTGTCGTCCAGGGCCAGGCTGGTGAAATTGCGATTGAGCTCCAGGAAGACCGAGTGCCAGCTCCCGTCATTGACAGCACGGCTGGAGATGCCTAGGATCCCAGGGCCGCTGCCACAGTCCAGCTGGAACCACAGCTTGCCTTCCACAATCTGCACAGGAAGAAATGCAGAGCCCTCATGAGTCTAGCTTCAAAACACTATGATCCCAACAGGGCAGATGTTCCTACATCTTCATCTATGTGAACTAAGCCCTCCACTGTCTGCCAGGAAAATACAGGCCTGACACTTCTCAGATCTTCCGGCTACTGATCATAGGGAAAGCCAGGAAGCTTACAGTGAAGAGATGGCTCAGTGGCTAAGAGCACTGGCTGTTCTCCCAGAGGTCCTGAGTTCAGTTCTCAACAACCACGTGGTGGCTCACAACCATCCATAATGAGATCTGGTGCCCTTTTCTCCCTGTAGACATACATGCAAGCAGAACACTGTATACATAATAAAAAAATAAATCTTAAAAAAGAGTAAGTTTCTATCACTGGATCGCCCCCCCCTTTAATACCCACTTCGATATCTCGTTTGTTTCTGTACCCCTCTCTATCACACAGGAATGATTTCCATGAACTCACCAATATTGACTGGACACCCACCATATGGTAGGCAATAGGCTAAGTCGATCTATCCTATCCTTCTGAGGCTCACTAGTCCAGTGGGGGGATGGTCACATGTTAAATCTATACACACATACTTCCCAAATAAGTTTATGAGAGTCTGATGTAGGGAAGAGGCCAGATAGAAGCAAACACTTCCTGGTACCCAGCTTTGTGCATATTTTGAATTTTAAACTCTCTATATAAAACACTGATGTCATACTTAACCCTGTCTTTTCCTACACTGTTCACCATATAGACAAGAGGCACTTCAAGAGTATTCAGGCTTGGCTGCTGCATACAGTAAAGGTGTCCAACATTTTGTCTTCCCTGGACCACAGTGTATGAAGAAGTATTATCTTGGGCCACATATTAAATCCTTGGGTGTCTAACTCTGCCACTACAGGGTTTGCAAAAGAATACAACCATTTATTCTGAGTGACATTGGAACATGATTTTGTCATCTATAGAAGTATGAAGTTCATACTTCAAAACTGCACAATTAAGTTATAAAGTGAAAAATCACAGAAAATCTAGTAACATTTAGGTGAATTCATAATTTTGTATTGAGCTTCATTCATGACTATACTAGGGTACATTGAATGGGAGTTGGACACCCCTGTCTTAGAGCTTATGCATGTTTAACAATAGGACCTTCTCTTCTGGTCAGCTGTTTGCACTTTCGGGGTGTTCCAATCCCTCATCAGGGTGCTATGGGGGAGATTTGCCTGCTTTAGACAGGGTGTCCACCACATCCTCTGGAGGCTAACACCAGGCATCATTGCCCATAGGTGAGAAAGCTATACCACTGAAGGATCCTAGTTGCCAGATAGCATGGGCAACTTCAACATCAATACAGACCCGGGCTACCCTGCTGTTGAGAAGATGGCCTTTGATACTTGCTGCTCCACTCTGGACTGTGTTTCTTAGAAATGCTATGTGGCATCAGGATTGAGGGATTGAGCGCTAGGCCCCCATGTAACCAAACTTAAATGTGGCCACTAAGGGATTTATATCTGGTCACTGTGAGACAAAAGCCTCTATATCTAGAAAATGATTCTACAGTGGCCAGTATCCTGGTTGTGAATGGGTGGGGTGCTCTGTCTGTCTTGAGCATAGCATAGATTCTCATCAAGAGAAATAAAGTAGAAAGTAAGAATGGAAATGTCAGACCAACATGGACACCAGCAGCTATACAAATGAAATGTTAAATGTATTTGTAGAAATGAGCTGAGCTGGTCTTTGCATGGTGTGTTTTACTTGAGAAAGAACCAGTGGCTTCTTCAGCACACCCATCATCACAAACATTCTGTTTTAGAAAGGTCCACAGTCAAGCAATCCACATTGGCTCTCATGTCTGCTTTTTGACTCCATGGATTTTCTCACCTGCAAGTCAAGGTCAAAGATTCATGCCCCCCAAACACTGGGAACCTAGAGAGCCATACACTCAGAGAATGAAGAGCTTGACTCCAAGTCTGCTTGTACCGTCCTGCTCTCTGGAAAGCATGGCTCTACCTCAGTGGATTTGGGTTTGGAGAACAGAGAGATGTGCCGGTGGCATCTGCTGCAGAATGGCTGGCCACATCTCACATGAGGTGTGTGTGTGCACTCATGAGTCTAAACACACACACACACACACACACACACACACACACACACACACACACACACACACAGCTCTGTAATATATGTGCTTACATGTGAAAGGGCTAAAAACAGATTTAGTTCCAGAGAGCTCTCACCTACAATCATATGCAATTGCTGGTGTTTGTGGTTGTTTAGCAAAATAGACTGAATGGCTATTATAAATTTCAGCAAACTCACTTAGTGACAATGCATAGCTAATACCCACATCTGTATTAGAGTGTAAGTAATAAAGTGATAGAATAAGGCTTTGGAGACACCTTCTTCTGCAGCAGCCCATCTGCTGCTTTGCCCCATGGCTACAAAACATTGTCCCCAGTCTGTCATGGAAAATCTGGTGGTGAAGGTGCAGTTCATGTAGTGTTCAATTAACATATTACTTGGTTCATTCCCTTCCCCCATCACTACCAACTGCCTGTGGGCAATAACCAGAAAAAATTGACGTGAGTCAGATACATCCACACACATCAAAATTCTGCAGCTAAGGAACTAAAATTACCTCCTGTGAATACTGAACAGAGCTAAGCGCCCTCCCCCCGACCTTTATAACAGAACAGCAGCAGCATTGCTAAGTGAAAGAAGCCCAGTGTCCACAGTTTCACCTTTTTTTCCAAAGAAACATCACTGTATTTTTATGATTCTAGGCATTTTGAACCATAGGCTTGTTGCTATGGAACTCTAGAATATTGGTGCCCAAAGGTACCTTGTGAAAAGTTAATAATAGTAAGTATGTTGTTCTAGGGAGGTAAAACAACACTTCCTTCCCTGTGGAGGAAGTATCTGAGTCATCTTCACATGGGAAAATGATACTCTGATAGTAGTTAATTTTTCTCTGTCTGTCAAGTTTTACAGTATTTTTCTTTGCAAAAGATGAACTTCCTCAAATCAGAGCACCAGTGTGATATTGCAGTGGTCACTGAAGTGTGTCTGAGCTGCAAAAAGTCTGTTGTCATGCTATTGGACTGGCTTATCAGTTGGATAGGTGGGTGATTGTAGGGAGAAATCCTGATTAGAGGTACCACTGACCACACCCGCTCGTGCCTGGTCAGAGTTATGTAACAAGGGTTTAAGAAGGAAGGAGGCATGCATGTAGCTTTCTTTCGCCTGGCTGAGCTGATTAGGAAGCATTTCCTGTGCAAACCTGGTCACTGGCTCCCTTGTATGAGTACTTTTCCCCAATAAACTGCCGTTTATCAACCTTTCTCTGACTCCACTTTGTAAACTTCAATAGGTAATTTTTTCAATGATATGCATAATTCAGAGAAAGATAGATGCCCTTATGTTAGAAAACATCTATATCTTCAGCGTTGTGTGAAATCAATAGTGTGCTTTGACCAGTTTTTAATGACTAGGGCACTAAGAGACAAGAAATCAGATCCATAAAAGTAATTTTTATAGAAAAGGATTTTGAGTAGAAATGATTAAATTATGAGTTTCATTGCTTTGGACCCATAGTGTATGTCTATCTCTGTAGGGTTCAGAGGGTTGTGTTAGTTAACTTTATCAATGCTGTGACCAAAGTATTTTACAGAAACAGCATAGGGGAGGATTTAGTCTTCAGCTTGCACTTTCAGGGGACCCAGTATATCCCATCCAGAAGGGCATGACAAGGTAACAGGACAGCTCCCACCTTGGTGCCACCCACATTTAAGGTAAGCCCTTCTTTCTCAGCTAATAGTCTCTGGAAGCCTCTCACAGCCATATCTAGATGTGTGCCTCACCCATCCCCTAAGCACTTCTAAATCTAATCAAGTTCTCAATTAAGAACAATCATTACACTGATCATTAAGTAATCTCTGGACAGAATACCTTTCAGTCATGTCTTTTCAAAGCCACTTAATGGATATCCGACATGTGGGGTACCTCTAAGATAAAAATAATTGGATGAAGGAACAAATAAATGGGTGGATGGTCCTCTTCTCACTGCCTGAGTGTTCCTAACCTGCTTACCTGTCAAACTCACTATGGGGTAGTTATTATTTGTTAAAGATGTCTGCAATTGTCTCCGAGTCTCAGTAGTCTCACAGGCAGACATGGGCACTGCCTTTAGGGAGGGGGTGAGAATCAGTAAGAGATAGATGTGGTCCATGATGGAAAGACCTACTCATACCACCTAAAAACGTGCCCTGTCTTTTTTTTTTTTTTCTTCAGTTTTGGGCTATCAAGCCAAGTCTGAGAATAATCTGATTAAAGGACTTGTTGGCATACCACATTCCTAAATATTTTTATATTTAAGAACATTTCTACATTAGCAACCAAGGTTTCCATCTGCTTTCCAGTTGGTGCCAAAAGGTCTGATGCCAACACTCTGAGCTGCCATGATTTGTCCTTGTGTCTGGCCTGGATATATGACACTTGGCTTTTTGCAGGCATGAAGGGGACACAGACCATTCTTACACTTTGGCTTTGGTTGCCAGGAAGCTCAGAAGTGGGTTTGTGCTCAACTAATATATTTTCTATGATTTTTTTCCATCATGATATTTTACTTTTTTTTCTTCATTGATTACATTGTAACCTTTTATTTTCATGTCAGTTGTGCTTAGCTTTTTATTGCATTTGTGTGTTTATGGTAAGTCTCAAGTCTCTTCTAGAACCAGGGTGGTAATGGGAGACAGAAAGACAAGCCAGGCTTTTGTTGCAGCCAGGCTTCAGTGACACATTTGTCCATGAAGGATTTTGTTGTTCCTGACCGCCATGCAACTCTTTACCAGCTGCCAGGGGATGCCCTCTGCTCCCTGATTGTTTAAAATACATTTTTACAGAACACACTCTGCCTGAAAAATGCAGGCCACCAGGAGGTGCAGTTTAGGCCAGCATTTCCTTTTAGTGGCTGAAGCAAAGCACAAGGTGTACCCTGTAACTAAACCAATAAGTTCAAATCTCCCATGAGGCTCGGTGTTCAGCAAGTCTGCTACACAGGGAGATATATAGCTGCCTCCTGCTGTCGGCAAACTCAACATAGAAAATCGTCAGAGAGAGGGCAGTGATGGCCCACAACCCCAAGGCATTCACAGAGAGTCCTTTCAAACAGCAACCCGCCTTAGATTATTGGAATTCATCTTTAGGAATTCAATTATCCAATTTCAGAAACACACTTGTTTCATGAGGTACCATACATCTTCGTGGTGACTCCCTCAGGGGTTTATTCTACTTTTCTGTCCCCACGGAAGTGCACCGGCAGCACACTTGCTAGGGATGGGCAAATGGCAAGATTCAATTTAGGATCAAATCATCCTGATTTGATATTCAGTTCCCTGTTAGGTTTAGTGCAATAGGAGATTATCTAACAGCAACTACTGGTATTACAGTAATCCATTAGAGCTTGAGAGGGGAGAGGGAAGACCAGAGACATCAGGCCTAAGGGCTCTGATGAGGCTCCTTCCTTACATTCCTAGATGTTCCTGTTTGATAGTCAGTTTTCAGTGGGCAAGCTCTGAGGACTTCTAAAGAGCACAGGCAGTAATAGAGTGGATGATAGACTTAACCAAAACCCCCAAGGACAGACCAGGAGATGCATATTTCTCCAGCACTCTTATGCCCAGACACTGGATCTGCTCTTCTCAGTTAGATCTGGGCTAGAAATGTGCAGGATGTAATCTGTGATAATTTGAGCTGGAATGTCAAGACGGAGAGCTGAGGAGTGCTTGGAGGCGAAGAGCACAAGGTGAGATACACTGTACTGTGGGTCAGGTCTCACTGCTCAGTAACTAAGCAACCTTGGGTGAATATATAAAACTCTCTGGGTTGTTCTCCTTGATCAAGTAAGTGGGGATATGTCATTAGAAGATTCATATTAAATTTAAAATGAGAAAGATGCAGATATATCTGTTTGTATTCTTAGTGTCATCACGAAGGCACTAGAAGCCAAAGTTTTATACAAATGCCAGATTTATTTTAAAGAAAATCTAGCTGCTTTAGGTGAACTTCTGAGGTCAGGAAATGATTTAAAAAATTGGATGACTTGGGTCATGATAGGATATGTGGACTATTTGTGCCAAATATCTCCTATTTCCCCCCTGAGTGACAGTGTAGCTATCCAGAGTGTGGAGAGAGCATGTGGTGAACATGGACAGTCAACCTGCTAAAGGATTAGCCTTGTCATGGGACTAATAGAGAAATCTGTCCCAATAAACTGTGTAGAGATTGGAATATAACAGAGGTGTGTATTCAAGCCCTTTCTACAGGGAGACATCAAATCTCCACCAGCCAGTTTTGAAACACAACTAAAACAAAGAAGGATGCTGGCACACTTTCCAACCTCGTTGTGCTCTTCTATCCTGAAGTCTGTTCTGGTCTTCTAAACTCACAAGACAATAACTTCAGTGTCTCCCAATTTAATAGTGAATATAGTCATAATAAGAAATGATTATGGGTGTGGTGTGGTGGCTCGTGCCATAATCACAGCACCTTGAGGCTGAGGCAGGAGGATGGTTTTGAGTTTGAAGCTGTCCTGGGCTTCAATGTAAGACTGTCTCAACAATGACAGATAGCTAACTACAAGAGCACAGCTGCAGGTGAATGCAGCCCCTTTCACAAACCTTCAGAATCATGCAGGGGTTGGCCCGGGTGTACATTATGATCCCATTGCTTTGTAGGGTTCTCAGGCGCAGAGCCAGCTTGAAGTCTTCTTCTTTGCTATCTTCAGAAAGCCGGTACTTGATGTAACTGTTTCCAGCAAAGCTGAGAGAAGTGTGCCCTGAAAAGACCATTCCAATAGCAAAAGTGTCCTTTAAAAATCCAGAAATGATCAGGGAACAATCCTGATCATCACCCCCCCCAACACACACACCAAGAAAGCTCATTACAGACCATAGCAGTTAAGGGTGGAACCCAGGGGTCTTAATTAAAGCTGGCTCACAATTTTACACCATTAAATTAACCAGTCAGCTACCAAAATAATCCCACTTGTCTCATGTTCAGAGCAACTTGGTAAACTCCATAGTGTAGATTTTCTTAGTATCAATAGATTCTCAACTCCCTCTTTCCAAGCTCAGCATCATTAAAAGATACCATTTGATTGCTCCCCCACCATTGTCTTCCCTTAGACAACATGTAAGAGTGTGGATGGGTCAGGCAGTGTGTGCCAGAAATCCCAGCAGTGGGAGAGGCTGCTGCAAGAGGCTCTCAAGCCAAGGCCTGCTTAGATTAGAGAGTGAGTTCACTGTCACCCTGGATGACTTATTCTGAAAATGAAAAAGCAAAGGAAAGCTGTAGCTAGATGATAGAGTGCTTGCCTTGCATATATAAGGTCCTAAGTCAATCCCTCACAGTGAAAAAAATAAATTTAAAATTAAAAAGATTTTTCAGTTCTATGAAACAAAGAAAAGGCAGTGAAGTTATTCTCGTGGAATCCTTGTACTCTCCAGGTATCCTAATACAAATAATACCAAAGAGCCAACTGGTGTCAGGTGTTGAAGAAAGGGGGCCCTCTGCTGTCACAGTTCCAATTGCTAACCACTAACTGCAGGCTTCCCTTCTGGGCCTCTCTCTCTCTCAGAAAAATATAGGCTTAAACTTGAGGGTTAGGAGAAAAGGGGTTTTCAGAAGAAAGCAAGGTACACTGAACAGCATGGCTGTGGGGCTGTGGGTTTCTCCAGGAAGTTACCTCATCTTAGACTTAACTTCCTAGACTTAACTGTAGTCCAACCCTCTTCACCTGATTCTGAACTTACCTGATTCTGAATTAACCCTCTTTTTAATTTCTTAACATTTTCTTCAATAGAGTGTTGCCACAAACAGATCAATAGGCTTGTAGAGTGAAAATCAGAGAGAATGGAAGGAAAGCAAATGGGTGATATTGTCAGTCAAAAGTTCTCTGATCAGAAGTTGGTAGAAAGGGATACTATGAGCATGGCATGTATGTTGGGGTAGGGACACCTTAGTGTCTTGCTCAAGCTTCCTGGTTTTCCCTTCATTTCACCAGCATCTCTGTGCTGGACGTCAACCATTATGAAGTTTGCTTCCTATTTTTATATAGGACTTCTCTGCAAAGGCTGAACTTCTAAAACCCTGTGATAGCTCATATTCCCACGATTGCTACTATGATTATCATCACTGGCATAACTTAATCATCACCCACAGCCATGCTGCTGGGTATGCATTACAAGAAATAGTAACAAAATTGGTATCAGTGTGCCTGGGTGTTAAATACATCTTATTACAAAAGATGATCCTACTGGTGTAGCAAATGAAGGCACTTTTAGAAAAAAGGAAGTGAAAATAAAGTGAAAGAAATGGAATAAGTGGTTAAATGTTAAATTGGGTAAAGATCATCAGCAGAAGATTATTTGGATGAAATGATGAAAATATTGATATTTCTTCTTTAAGATGCAAAGGTGAACATGTCAAGCAGGGAAGACCTGGCTTACATGGTGTTCGGGGCTGGGCTTATTCCATGGGAAACTGATGAGACTGGCTCAGATCTACTTCCTGTTGGCCTGGTTTGTTGTTGTTGTTATGTTTTGTTTTGTTTGTTGCTACAGATTGGTGCAGCCTTCTGACACCAGAGGCTCCATGCTCTTTGTCCATAAAGCTGCACTCCGTCTTCCATAACTTCACACTCATATCAGTCATGCAAGATAACTGTGGACCTATTATACACAAGAGGCCCTGTCTTCCTGTCTCATTAGCATGGACTGGCTGTGACACATCTCAATTAAACATGAGGGTGAACATAGGCCATTGGCTAGTCTAATGGTAAGTGTTGTATGCACACACATATGTATTCTGGAAGGACCTGGGCAGAGTCCTTCATACAAGGAAAATGTATCATGAGTAGGAGATCCAACCCTGACTTGTCCATACCACTCTGTACCTGAGCACTCTCCAAGTTTTCCTGGTGGACACTGGCAGAGAAATGGTCTCCTGCTGGCCTCATAACCCACACATTGCATGTCCTCCGGACATGGCTTCTCCACACAAGGATCATTGGACCCTGGACACACACCTCCTGTGGCAAAGGCAAAAGAAGCATGATCAGGATTCTAAAAGACTCATCACCAAACTTATGGATAGTAAGAAATTGTCAAGGCCTGGGCCATATGTGATTTCCAGTGAGCTGCAAAGGGGCCACCCAGGAGCATGTGCGTCAGAATGGTCAACACGGGGTTTGGGTACCATCAGAGATATCTGTGTCTGTCAACATTTCAATGGCAGACTGGAGCATGATAAGAGCAAAGGCAAATCCAGAGCTCATCCTATTAGGACTAAATATGCCAGAACTTTATTTGGGCCAATTTCAACTGAAGAGCAGCACCACACCAAGACTCTGCCAGGAGGTACTGAAGGTTTCCAACAGCCCAGTGGTCACTTGTGAGGGCTGTGGGCTTACCTGTCTCCTGCAGCCATTACTACTCTGAAAAACTTGAGGGCAGATTGTAAGAGATGTTAGCTCTTGATTTCAGGGAGAGAAGGCGGGGGAGGGGAGGAAGGGATGTGGGAGGGAAGAGAGAAGGGTAGTGAGTACACATTTCTAAATAAAAGTCTAGCTGTAAATTGTGAAAGCACAGCTCATTTTGTTTCCCAATCCTTTCTGTCACATGGTATTTTATTGATTATCTATAAGGAGTCCCTGACAGCTATCAATAAAAAGCAGAATTATCCTTGGCTGAGTCAGGCTTCCACTCCACTGCTCTATTCATACTTGGTATAATGAAAGTTTAATCCCTTAGAAGGGAAATCCCTGAAGGAGGATTAAAGTGGACTAGGGCCCAGGTGAATTAGGTCAGAAGGAGGGTGAAGGCAGGTGCAGTCTGCCTATTGAAAGAAACGTGCTTTCCACAGGCCCCAGGGCATTTAAAACGTATCTAGGACTTTTTCAACCTGGAAGACTTTAAGTGGCAAAGGACTCTTGAAAAACTGAATCAACTAAAATTAAGCCTCAAATGCAATGGCGATTCCTTAGTGGGTTAGTGTTCTCATGGCAGTGCTTCCTCCCACTGAAGGAGGAACATGCCAGACATCAGCTGCTCCCTTCATTGGTGGGAGGTGGTCCTTGAACACACTCCTCTCCATGATGCCTTCCCTGGTCATTAAGGCTGTCCCATGATATTCATCTCTTTGTCCTGAAGAAAGCAAGAATGTGGTGCTAACTACCTACAAACATCTTTGGAGCTATAGTCCCTAAGAGGAGCATCTCCCCAGTACTAGCAAATTCAGGATTTGGAAATCCTATTTGCCATAGCTACAGCCCAGTTGCAAAAGTCACTCTTGGCACCGATCTAACTCTTAGTCTTAGAAGATGTACACATTTTAAACTGAATATTTAGAATCAGTGCTAAATGATTCCATAAGATCCAGTGCCTCAAAATATTTCTTGAGATTTATTCCTCCCCAATCTTTATGCTTTTCATATATTTATCAGTATTGGTAGAATATCAACTGATGTCTGACCATCTCATAAACCACTTCAAGGAGCTCTGAAGACCAGCTTTAAAAAAGCTTCAGGCATATTTATTCAACAAACAATAACTTGTTGAATTCATTCAACATGAAAAATAAAAATATTAATTCAATAATGGAACTGAGATCAATGAGCTAATAAGCCAGGGCCTATAATGGAATAGATAATGGAAAACAATATCCACAGGCATGAAACACACACACACACACACACACACACACACACACATTACACCTCAGAACACTGTTTTGACAGGTATGTAAGATCAAGGGATGTACCAGAACAGGGATCCTGTCTCCTGGGAGAATATCAGACCTCTTCATATGGAGGTGGTTTATCCTGATTATCTCAGCAGATCCTTCCAGCTAGCAGTAACTGTCAAGAGGACCCACGTGCAATAGTTTATGTATAGGAACCAATCAGAAGTTATCTGGTGGCGCTATGCTTTACGGCTCTGGGTGTGCTTTAAAGACAAGTGCACAGCAATGACCCTCAGAGCATAGCAACCACCCTGGGAGGGCCTATGGGCCATAACAACAAGTTGACCAATCAACACAGGGCAAACCCTCCAAGTCTGGAGGCACACCAATCCTGAGCTTGTTCGTACCCCTAGACACTCCCCTTATGCTGCCCTATAAGATCTCTATGCAGACGCTTCGAGCTGTCTTTCCTAGCCATCCGCCATGGTGGGTGGATGAAAGACCCGAGCTAACACGGGGTTAGCTCGTTAAACAACTATAATAAAGCCTCATGCAGTTTGCATTAAAAAAAAAAGAAATCTGTTGTTCTAGATCCATCACATTCCTTTCACCTTTCTATTTCAGTACACTTAGGAATGCCGTCTCTACACATCACTACATTTTTGAATACCACTATAGATATCATATTCATTATCTCTTATGGTTTTATGTTACTGATACAGTTCTAAGAAATCTTCTGTTCTCAAAACTCTGATTGAAAAGCTACCATTTCAAAGAAGAAAAGATGGTTAGCTAAGTTTAGACATGTGACAGTGATGGTATTTATTCCCTTAGAAACTGTAATAATATTTAAAAGTAATATTTAAAAAATAAAACCAAACCTTTATGAGTGTATCTAATGAAAGATACAAAGATTTTCAGAGAATATTCAGCACTGAGGTTATTTCTTCATTTTATTCATGTTTGGCCTGTAACTATCACTCTCATCATGATAATTAGCACAGGACTTTCCACTTGATCTGCCAGATCTCTGACTTTGAGATAAAGCACAAATTCACTTACCAGCAATTGGATTGCAAGCCTACAGCTCCTTTCCTTCTTGAGGCTTTGTGTCATAATACACAGAAATGCATATAATTAAACCACAGCAACCAATTAATGAATGTTTTAGATACAGTGCCCACTAGGGAAAAGCAGCATGAGTCTATATGAAAAGTAGTAATACAAATATAACAAGTGAATTATAAAGTGAACAACTATTCAGTGTGTAATGATGTACATGTGTCTTCATTCTATCTGTTTGTGACTTCAATCACTTCTTACTTCTTTTTGATTTTAATAAGTTCTTCATTGCGAAGGGGGCATTTTTGGGTAATGAATGTAACTCTGTCTGCTTTAGTCACCTACAGGGGTCCTTTGTCCTCATTCAAGCCTGGGATCTGCTTAGCCACAAATAAACAGTCAATCCAGCTGCCTGTCAGGGAGCTTGCTCACAGGCCCCCTCTCTGGTGGTTTAAGGAGCTCTGACAGCAAATCAGAACCCGCAGGCCAGTCTACATTCAGTATGCTCCTTTGGCAAGATGTGGGTTAGGTTAACAAGTTTATTCCAAGTAAATGAATAAAATCATTGAAAAGCAGCTTTCTCTGAACAGGAGTCACCACATCTAACACAGCAATTCCTTTTTCTCTGTAAAGTGTCATAGAGAGCAGGTCCTTTCTGAAGCATGTACTGTCTGAGGGGCATGGCTTCCAATGTTGATCCTGAAATGAGCCATGTGCTTCTGGCTTCTGATAGACCTGTTTGGGTCTTGGGAACACTAAGGATAAATGCTCTTTTCAGTAGAGGTCTGAAGCTTTCTAGGTACATAGAATGCATCCTGTGTGGGCCCTGAGGAGTTAACCTGATTTTAGAAATCCCATGTTTATGTCATTCCTTCTCACTCAACTGTGCACACTTATTATTGTTGAGAGCCTTAAAGACCCTCTCTCTGGTGGCAGAAAGTGCCTCATCAGCTCCTGAGTACCAGTTATGAGATGACAGTGTCAACTCCTGTTGGCTTCTGGGAGGACGTTTATCTTATTAACTATCATTAAATAATCCAGGTTTAATGAACTTGTGCCGTGCTCCGTGACAGCTCAGGGAGTGGGGGCCATAGATCTGCAGACTCTGCATCTCCAGGCATCCATCAATATGGAGTGAACATGAAGGGAGAAGTCTCCCACTCTATCAAGCCAAATGACTCAATTTTTGGTCTTCTAGGCTGGGCAGTGGGAGCCTCTGTCACAACACAAAGCAGGAAGAATAAGCTCCATTTCCTGCTTCCAGGTTCCCCAGGGAAAAGTGTCCTGACCCTTTGGACAAGCTGAAGAAGACCTGGCTAGTTATTTCACTCATTTACTCTGTGGTCTTGGACATGCTGCTCAACCTTTCTGGATCATGACTGCCCTTCAGAAAATCAGGACAAAGATTCTTCCCAGTGTCATGAAAAGTAAATGGCCAGTGCCTGAGAAAAGAGTTGTAAGGAAAACTTTGAAAAAGGTGGCAAAAGTGGTGATGCTAACACAAATGGCTTAGACCTGGTCGTTCTACCTGCTGCCTGACTTGAGTCAGGTTTGCAAACAGATGATATGGAATACTGTGTGTACTGGAGGTATGAAATTAGGCTTGGAGCCTTTTATACTTCAGGTGTCTGGGCTTGTGATGTAATGTGTCTATACTTCCAACCTCACGCCTCTTGCCTTCTCTAATCCAGGGATAGCTCTAGTCTTCTCCACCCTGTGCACTGATCCTAACCTCATCCTCTCCTCCAAAGCCAGTCTTTTTCCACCTTAGGTAGAGTCCTCCCCGACCTTCTCTGCTTCAGGCACAACACTTCACCTCCACCTCAGGCACAAGCCCTCTCCTTCTAGGTCTCAGGCTTGACTTCTCACCTTCTCCACCTCAGGTACAATCCCTTACCATATCCACTTCAGACATAGCTCCCTCACATTCTGCATGTCAAATATCCCCACCATGTCCACCTCAGGCACACCCTACCAACCTGTGTCTTGCACAGTCCCTCAACCATTTCTACCTCAGGTAGCATCCCCTACTTATTCCACCTCAGACATATCTGTGTTCCTCCTCCTCTCCCCCTCTTCTGCTCCCCTTCCTTCTCCTTCTCTGACTCCACTTGGCAATCTTCCCTACCTCAATTGTGGCTGTTCTTTACACACCAGGGGATCTTTTGCATTTTCTGAAGTTCTTCTCAGTTGGAAATTCTGGTCTCCTTCTCCAGCGCTGACAACAGGGGAGCCATCTGAGTTGGAGCTTGCCGCTTCCGTGCAGTGCAAAGGGTGGGTCCCTGG